AACTATTACAAAAGCTGGCATGGAGGGGGATGGGCCAGTGGGAGGCACTGCACCTATTGATACACTATTATAAAGAAATAGCAGTGCTTTTCAATTGTTCCTCTTTAAAGAAACACACTGGTTTTGCTTTTTTTTTTTAAGTGGGACCAAAGATACTATTGTTGATCTGAGTCCTGACCCCAAAAGGAGAAGTTCATAAGTGGGTTTTAGAGGTTTCAGCGACCATTAAAGACCTCTAGGGTTGAAACGTTTTACATCAAATTTCAATGTAGAAATAATACTTTTTCTTCATCCTCACAAGAGAAGAAAATGAGATGAGCTTTAAGTGGGAAATGTTCTGCAAGAGAAATGTCCTTCCTTGTTTTCTATGCTGCTATTCTCAATTTAATAAATCTTTGAATGAGTGAAATGGTATAGGCTCTTAATACATAATAAAATTAATCATATCAATTATCATGCTCCTCTGTAAATATCTCAATCATCATTCTACTTAGTGCACAAAACGAGATTCTCACTACTCAGCAGAGTAGAACCCCCCGCCCCAGCCCCTGAGCCTAACGCTGATTCTGTTTTATGCATAGCGCTTTCACCATCACAGAGCAGAGCATCAAGCCCAGTGCAGACCCTGGGGAAAGAGTCCTCGAACTGATAACAGAAAGAATGTCCATCAAATGATCTGTTTTCCCTTCCTAGCCACAAGAAAATACTATATAAAATAGGATGCAGTAGTTAGAAGCTCAGGCTGTAGAGTCAGGCTGCATGGGCTCAAGTTCTGGCTCTACCACCAACCAGTATGTGACTTTGGCAAGTCTCCTAGCCTCTTTGAACCTCCGTGACCTCAGCCCTTAACACGTTATTTTGTTATTTTATTACTATCATGTATTCATCTCTCTTGGCTTGGAACCAAAAAGGGAGACGTGCCCAAACTCAGAAGATCATCAGTCTTAGCTAAAGCTGCTTATAGAGTGGCTGTGGCAGCCCTTCTGGGAAGGAGCACACATCTGGTGGAAAAAGGCACCAGACGTCTTGGGTGTTCTCTGGCTCCAAACCACATGCTTCCTAGAGTAGACCTTGATTCCAGTCAGTAGGTCAGCCGCACACAGTAGGATCAAAAAGACACATGAACGAGTCCAGTATCTGCCAATGTGGACCTCATCTTAGGAGATTCTGCTTGGGGGTCCTGAAAACATCCATCCTAAAGCAGTTACAAAGCCAAGAGTCCAAGATCCTAGAGCTGACTCTGACAGTTACTTCCACACTTTTGAGCTTTACTCTTTTCTCTTCTGAAATGGGAAAACAGCAAATAATTGACAGGGATAAAACACGAACTCAACCTCACATCTTCGGAAGTGCTTTGAGGAAGTTAAAGAGTAGACAAAATCAATGTCATAGCAACAGCAGCAGAACCCCCAACCAAACACAGATGTTAGGTCTTCCTTTTAAATGCCAATTTAAAGGAGCTTCACTATTAAAGAATCAATTTCCTGCAAGGGGCCACAAAGGTTAATATTAAATGAAAGTAGATGTCATGGGAAGAGTTGCCATGATAAATAATTTGAGTTGGGGGAAAGATATATTACGTAAATCGTGAATAAACATTAAATCCCTGAAGAATAATAATGTCTTTGGTATTTTCTTAACTGCATACCTTAAGTATACTCTTTTTAGAACGCCCAGGATTGGATTTTGTATTTTGAATTTTTTATGCTTAGGTAAAAATTTGGATTAAAACTATTCCATCAATCACACCAGCCACTAATTTGGCAAATTATCAGGCACTCAAAATCCCCCAAATTGCTGGACCTCTAACTAGGAATTCTAACTGTATTTTGAAATCTGTCAGGACATTACAAATTTCCTGGATGACTTATTTTATTTTATTTGCTTTGAAAATCCAAAAGAACAGCACTCTGTTGAGATCTAGCCTCTTCTATGCCCACATTGTGCAGCAGATAAGGTTATTTAACAGAGGACCAAAGCCTCAAGGATTTCTTTTTTTGTACCACAGGTGCCATAACGAAGTGGTGAAAATTGAAAAGGAATGAGGAAAACGAAACACAGTACAAATAATACAGTAGAGAAAGTTTTAAAATATGTATTACTCCTGTCTGTGGGGGAAACACCTCTTTGGATATGTTCTTGACAGACTGAGTTATATCTGTCTATTGGGTATGTATAAAGACATATTTATGGATTTATAAATCTTTTGAAGAGGGCTGTTATTTACCCAGTCGACTAAAATGGACTCAAACTGTGTAAATAACTATTTAGGACGTGCACTACGGGCCAAATGCTGGCATGGCTTACACAGCCATGCCTGCCAGAAAAGGCAGACAGGGGAAACATGGAAAAGCCACTGTGCACAGTTAATCCAAAGGCTGCACAAAGGCCCAGCTCCACAGGTCTTGGGGATGAAAAAGAGGTTTAGAAGGGTCGTGGTTGGCATGGAAATGCATGTAACTTGTTACAGCAACACTTTTAGGCATCATTCTGCATTTAGCAAGGAATAAATCACACTGCCAAAGAGAACCCACAGGGAAGGGCAGGTAAGATGACAGGTGGGACTCCTGCCTCCTCTGTTCTCAAGCTGGGGACAGGGAGGTAGAGGGAAATGAGCACAGAAAGCTTCTATTTGATCACGGTGGAAGTAATTGCCTTTAGCTCTTTGGTGGAGAGCTGGGGAAAGAGGGCATGACGAGAAGAATCTTATATAAATAATCAGGAACCTGAAATTTTAGCTCTGACACTGCAGCAGGGCCTCAACAAATCACTCAACTCACCCACACCTTATTTTCCTCATCTGTCAAATGGGGCTAGACTCACTTGTTTGCCACCCAGGGTTGTTTTAGAAAGGTTTGACTGAGATCATTCAAGTGAGATAATTTATGTGAAAATGAAAAAAAAAAAAAAACTAGGTGGTGTCCAGCCTGGAGGCCTAGTAGTTAAGTTTGTGTGCTCCACTTCAGTGGCCCGGGGTTCATGGGTTTGGATCCTGGGGCGGACCTACACAACACTCATCAAGCCAGGCTGTGGCAGCATCCCATATACAAAACATAGAGGAAGACCGGCACAGGTGTTAGCTCAGCGACAATCTTCCTCAAGCAAAAAGAGGAAGATTGGCAACAGATGTTAGCTTAGGGCCGCTCTTCCTCACAAAAAAAAAAAAAAAAATAGGTGGTGGTCTTATATGAAAAAATATAAAGAGAAGAAATGTAAGTGGAAAACTCTAGTAGTATAAAGGATATATGACTCCTGGTTACAATCAAATTCATTATTAAATTGGCCTTTGGAGAACCCTTGTTGAAGGAAAAAGAAACATGCAAAATTCCTAATTCCTTGTTATGACATGCCAGAGGGGAAGGATCAGGATGGGGCATTTGACCTCTGGAAATCCTTTTATCAGATTATGTTTGAGAAAACTTATATGTTATAAGTTTAAATTCAAGTACATTTTAGCAGTTTGCAAGCCTTCAAGTAGTAGCTAAATTACCTGCCTATTTGTGGATGATATGTTTTTTAAAAAGCAAGAAATGAGAAAGAAAAAGAAAGAAACAAACACAACTCTAGGCTCTGACCCCACATAGCAATTTTGGAATACAGGAAAAAGAATTTAGATTCCATTTACAGCTTTTTGCAAACTCATGGTGTAAGTTAAATTCTGAAAGTAGGGCTTTATATTGAAAGTGCTGATATCACCTTAACTATAGCACTGTGAACAGCAACACCATAACATATACATACACACACTTGAAAGAAAAAAGCCCCTGTGGATCTACGCTGCCTCTCATTTTCCAGTAAAAGTCAGAGGTCAGAGGTTACCGGTTTCTGCCTCAGCTTGGAACCAGTTTACTATTCCGGGTTCCATTTTTACTAGACTGATAGTTGTGATGAAGTCAGCAACTTTTCTTTGAACAATAAAATATCCAAATGCTTAAAATTCTACGTGTAGAAATCGAATACAGTCCAAATAGCATAACTGTGCCTAAAAAGAATGAACTTTCCTGTTTTTGTTTTCAAATTAATCGCGTTAAATTCATTTTAGACTTTGCAATTCTAATAGGTATAGCCCAATTAAGTTAGAAAACAAAATTTTTTTGTTGTATAACAGCACTCCAATGAACATGATCATAAAACCAGATTTTAAAGTATGTACCTACTGTGGGCCAGAGTCAACTTCAATAAAGCCGTCTTTTTATATTCAGATAGAAAATATTCTTTTAAACTTTGGTTGCACTAATTGAACACAAAATCCACTGCAGCAGGTCTCACCAAAAGCAGTGCAAGACATCGAAATAGTCATTCGCCTTTTTGCTAAAGATTAACTCTATGTTTAAACTTTATTTCCTGCTAGTTATAGTCAGACAGGCATATCCACGGACACCCACATATACACACACACAGGTGTGTGTATTCAAAGAACAACACAGATTAAATTGATCTGATTTCTCTCTATTTCTTCCTAATTCCTTTTAGTTGGACTTGGCAATGAGGTCAAGCACTTAAAAGATTCGGATAAGTAAATCCAGACAAATGCATTCAACCCAGTGGAGAGGGAAGCCCACCATGGGTTTCTGAAAGGCCCACCGCCTTCTACGCATCTTAAGACATCGTCAACTGGGAATGCTAGTGGGTGTAGCTTCACAATCTCTTGAAAAGCCTCTAAGGGCAAGTAACAATAATACTTTTTATTTGTATAGCAGGATATTAGCAGCATACTATTTACACACATTGGAACTTGCAATCTACTTCTCTAATCTTGCCCTCAGTCAATTCCCTGACCCTGTTTTATGGGGTGGCCAGGTGACAGGCGGTTAGGCAGCTGGAATGGCATAGAAGAAGAAAAGGGTCACGGGAACAAAATAAGATGAGCTGATTTTCATATTATATGGGGTTTATGTTCTAGGAAAAACTGTATAAGTAGTCACTAACTAGACATTTCTGAATTTTCAACCCTTAAAAATGAAACGAGTAGCAAAAGAGAATGAGAACACCTCTCCTAC